AATCGTACTGTGGTCAATAGAGTATCACCCCACCGTGACTAAGAGCTTATCGGCGATTGCGGGAGTAACATCGATAGGTCGCATACCGATAGTTCGACGTTTTCGTGCGTTGTACTCCATAAGAAGACGCAGTAGTATGTCGATCCATTTGTAGGTTCCGTTAAGTGTAAATTGTTTCCACATATCGTTCTTCAACGTACGGTCAAATTGTTCCACAATCAAAGCTTTCATAACCGAATATGTGGAATAATGATTGATGCTATGCTTTTGTATCAATGTCTGTACATCTGTGTTATAGAATTCCTTTCCACGATCAGTTTGCAAATTGTGTGGACATCTTTTGTTATCCCGAAATATTCCTGTAAAAGCTTTGGTGACTTCGCGTCCACTCTTACTCTTAAGCGGTATGGCCCACGCGTACTTGCTCAGCACATTGATAACCGTAAGTATATAGTGGTAGCCTCTGTTGACGCGCGAATACGGACGCATGTCTACCACATCCGCTTGCCAGAAATCATCGTATCCGCGTACGATAACGCGTCTACGGGGAAAATTTCTTCTCGCCGGAGCATGCACTTCTTCTATGAGACGTTGTTTTTCGATTGTGACATGATTCCTCGCCATAGCTGTTTTACTATATGTCTACTGAGTCAGTCGTTTTAGTATGATTTGATAGATATTGAAGTGTACGCTGAATTTGTTTTATAGAGTCGCGCAACGCTTGCACGTCCTGTTGCAATGCGATAATTTTTCTCTCACGTGTCTCCAGCCATTCATTCACATTCGTGACACACATATCTACGTATCGTTTGTTGGCGGCGTCAGTGTCGGTATCGGGTTGCGCTAGATGCAGTATCTTGCGCGACCTTGCATCGTAGCCGGAACCGACAAAGAAGAGAGCGTTATTACGAACGTAATTTCGCAATATTGCCTCTCTCTCATAATAATAATACATCGACGCTCCGTGTGTTCCGAGCGATATCCCGAATTTGTTGATTGGCATGATGGCGCGCACACGACTGACTCTAACATCGGCGCGCTATTTAATTTATAATGAGACCTGCTTCGCGCAGTTCTTTGATAATCGACAGAATTTCGTTATCGTGAGCATTATTGCCAGCCTGACGGGATGCGTCTAGCAATCGCAGACGGTCGACGAGTTCATTGGGATCGTCCCAGTGCGCGTAATCGATTTCTCGATCGTTTAGCGTCATATTACGCGGTATACCCCTCCCCTGCTTAGTACGCACACTGGATACTAAAGGCGCAATTATGTATCTATATTTATATCCTTTGTTACCCAGTATTGCGCCTAGCTAGTTATGATGTTTTCTATGAGCATTTGTCATTTCCAATATTGTTTTGTATCGTTGTTTATCTTCTTCAGTATATAACTCACTCCTAGGACATTTCATGAAAATCAGTTCGTACAATCCTTGTGTTGCTTTGAATCGTATACCGTCTACGATTATATTATCTTGTTCATCCACGTCAAAATGTTTATCATCAAGCATCATTCCATCGTTGTCGAAATACACACCATATACGTA